CTTTCCACCCAATGTATTGACAGCACGGGTTGAACGGGAATGCCACACACTATGTCCAGCATGGCTCAATATTTGTTGAGCTGTTAGAATTCATTACAGTCTTTACATTCACTGCTGCAGAGCCTTAAAAAACGCTCAGCACAAATTAATTCTGTTTACTCTAAAGGGGGGTTGCAGCTGCTCTTGTTTGCTCAGGTATTACCAGATATAAGAGGAAATGTGGAAAAAAATTCTAATCAGATTTTACATTTACAGCACTGGTGTTATAATATAGATTTACTTTTCTTCTCCCTCACACAAATGTTTTCAGTTATTGTGCTCAGGTTGGGGGGATAGAAAAATAAGGAAGATATATGCTTTTTGACATAAAAGCATTGAATATTTATTATTTAAAGTGCATTTTTGCCAGAAAAATGTGTCTCTTTAGATAGATATGCAAATGTGGGAATTCTAAAGTAGGTTTCTGAAATAAAAACCTTCTTCAGGATGGGTTTACCTGACAGCAGGCACTCAAAAGCATATTCAGAATATATTTAATTTTAAAACAAATACACTTTAGCACACATTAACATGTAGGGAAAAACAACAAATGACTAAGTTTTTGTGAATCAGTCTCATCTGTACCATGACCAGAATTTTGGTCATTTTCTGTAAAACTGATTGAGTTACTGATTTTGTGTTTGCTAAGGTGACTTAGCTGAGGCGGCCATCTTAAATTTTATTTTTTTAATGAGATGAATAAATAAATAAATATTTTTTTCTAAATTAGATCAACTCCAAAGGTTAATCAGATGTAGACGTAAATCTAGAGATTAGTTTTTGAAAGTTTTTTCAATGTGGTTCAAAGGATATTTTGCAAACAGACACAAGCATAAAGCATTATCACCGTTTCTCCTTTAACAGAAGACAATAATGGCTCTGAAAGCCTTTATCAGACTGCCACAACATTCATACATGAACAATCCACTCATTGTGCAAAAAATGGGACTTGATTCCACCAAACAGAAAAGTCCCCGCTTTACAGAACAAAAATATTCAACATGCTCATAATGTGTTGTCATTGTGCTAAATGCAAAAGCTGCTCCCACTGAGGGAACCATTTCCCCCACACTTTGACARACTGCCAGAATGTTCACATTTGCATGTTCGAGCACACTCCTTGTCTTTTGTTTGCAGCCACAGGAGCTGATCGAAAAAATTTCAGCTATTGTGCCACTCAGGCGTGTTTGAAGATCAATAGGACCCACTTAGTGTTTGATCACTGCAGAGGAATAATATTTATATCCATAGATTGTCATTATTATCTACAAATTTTTTTTTTTGGTTTACATTTTCTAACTAAATGCAGAGATATTTAGAGTGTTAAAACAAACGTGTCTAGTTTTAGGCACATGCTTAGAAGCAYTGGAAAAACTGTGCAGGCAAAAAGAAAACGGCAGCACTTTACATTTATAGRCAGCACAATAAAGAGAACAATGAGTACAAAAATGAGGAGAACGATTGTGGCATTGTTCAAAGACAAATAATAAATACTGGCTGGCAGCATGCAGGCTTTTGGCKTCAGCATGTTGGAGAACATACAATAAATCTTTTGGTGCCCTCTGGTGTTCATAAAAAGATCAATATTTTGACAGAAAGGAGATTTTTGCCTGTAAGAAGTGTAAAAACTACACCATTTGTAATACTGATGCTACATTTTCAGTAAGGTACAGAGGTGGACAGTAACAAAGTAAATTTACTTGAATATTGTTGTATTGTATGTATTCAGTTGGTACTGGTTCTGGGAGTTTGTACTTTACTTGAATAGCTTTTTTTCTTCGTTTACCACTACATTTTAACAATAAAATCATACAGGCTTAAGTTACTAGTTATTTTTTGGCCGTGTTTGTGTAGCTTGCATCTRTTTTGTTCCACCGACACAATGTAAAATGACATACTACATTACACATTATACACCCTTATACAATAGGTGGTGATATGCAGCTTTTAACCAGTTTCAAAGAGAAGAAGAATAATTTTTGTTGCACTAGTGTTGCCTTATCCACTTTATTCCTGGGGGYGCTAAATGATTACAGGTACAACTTCCTGTCAGAAACGCCAGAAGTAGCAGCAAACTTTGGCTTATTTGAAAGTATTTTGCAATCAAACAAACTATTTTATTGATTTTTTTTTTTTTACATTTATATTAGAGTTTGTAAATGGCCTTGTGGAATTCAGGTGCCTATTTTKCTGTTCATGGCTTCACAAACAACCAGACTAAACTGAATCAGTGCTACAACAACAGAGTTTAGAACATGGACCCAAACAAAAAAAAATTGTTCCATCCATCGCCTACCGACACACACATTATTTGTTCATATTTGGTATTACAATTTTATCTGCAAATAACTGCTATGTGTGTTTGTTTCTAAACCTAACCTCATAAAAATAAAATATTGTAGTTAGTTTCTTAACAGATGTGTTTAAGAATAACCCATGACAGTTTTTTATTATCTTATTCTAACTTTTAGATTGTAGCTGTGATAGTCTACAAGATTTTATTATTTTATTTTATTTATTTTTTGTTTATTTATTTATTTATTTATTTATTT